TTTTTATTTGGGAATACGGTAATTGCTTTAGTTCCCCCCAGAAATTTTTATAATTGTAAATAAAATATATTTTTGAAAAAATAAAAATTTTTTTTTTTTAAGCATCCACCCCAGCACACCAAAGCTTTGCATACCCAAAGAATAAGGGTTTTTTTTTTATTTTTTTAATTTTTTATAAAATAATTTATTTTTTTATTTTAACTTTTTTTTTTTTTTTTTTTTTCCAAAAAACCATTTTCATACATAAAAGTTTTTTTTTTTTTCCAAACTATTTTTTTTTTTAAAAATAAATAAACAAATATATATACTAAAAGATATATCAAATAAAATAAAATCTTCTTTAAAGAAAAAAAAAAAAAAAACAAAAATAAATTTATTATTTTTTCTAAAGTTATCAAATCATATTATTTAATTACCTTTTTTAGAACTATATTTTAAATTTCTTTTTTTTCATATTCATTACTTTGTTATTTTTTTTTTTTCTATTCAAATTTCTTTTTTAAATTTAAAAATTTCATATTCCACACACCCATCTTCATTCATATATAATTTATTTATTTATTTATTTGTAATAATAATTATTTTAAAAAATGCATTTATCAACTCAAGATATAAACTTAGAATATTTATCTAAATATTTCCACTTACCAATCAATAGTGTTGCTAAAGAGATTGGTGTTTGTGCTACAGTCCTAAAGAAAATTTGCCGTAGAAATGGTATCCCAAGATGGCCACATAGAAAGATTAAATCACTTGATAAGATGATTGCTAATCTCGAAAACACAGTACCAAAGTCAAAGGAGGAACAAATTAAAATCAATAACGAAATTGCTATTATTAAAAAAAAGAAAACTTTTTTAATTAAAAATCCAAATATATTGGCAATTAAAAACAACCAATATCTTTCATTAAGTAGTAAATTAAATAATGTTGCTCCACCAGAAATCTCCGATAATAATATGTTAACATTACAACAATCTCATCTTCAATCACAACAACAATCATTTTTAATTCAACAACAACAACAATCTTTATTACAACAATATCAAAAGCAACAACAACTACAACAATATTTTTTCAATGACTATAATAGTATGTACAATTTCAATAGCTCAAGTAGTAGCGGTAGCAGTGACGATGAAGAAGATGAAGACCAATACTGTGATTCACCTCTCTCACCATACTCTAATACAATTTTACCAAACTACCCATCATCCCCATTACCACAAGTCCCATTATCGCCATCATCCTCATCACCATCCACCTCATCCTCATCACCAAGCTTACCACAATTTGTATCTTCGCCATTAGCACCAGTTTTATTATCCGCTTCATCGCCAGCTTCACCATTTTCATATTCCAAACCTACACCTATCTTTTCAACAAAAAAATCTTTATCCTCTGGCAATTTGCATTCTTCCTCCTCACCATCCATTTCTCAAAATAACAATAATTATAATATAACTTTACCAAAATTAAATATTCCAAATAATGATCATACACAAACTTTATATAATAATAAAAACAACTCTTTAAATAATAATTTATATAATGAAAAACCAAAAGAAGAAGAAGAGGACCAAAGCGAATACCAAAATTCTGAATTAAGTAATGCAATGGCGGTAATGGTAATGGCGACTCTAATGACTTCGGCAAAAAATTATAATAATAATAATAATACCATTAATAATAACATTCAAAACAAAAAACCTTCCAATAATTTTTCAAATATTTTAAACAATGAAAATGAAAACTACCAATTCAATTTCGATTTTACTAGAGCTGTTCCCGCTATCCAAAATTCTGTATCATTTGATAATGAACTTTAATTTATATATTATAAATTAAGTTCATTTAACTATCTTTATTAAATAATTTTAGTAAAGTTAAAAAATAATAATAATAATAATAATAATAATAGATTTATTATAATAATATTATTCCCCCACTAAAAAATTAAACAAATAAAAATATTAAATAAAATATTTAAATTACATTTTATTATTTAATTTTTAAATTTTAGTTAAAAAAAAAAACAATATAAATATTTTAATTTTTTATATTTATTTATTTATTTATTTATTTTACTATTTTTAGGTATTTTTTTCAATATCTCTTTTTTTTTAAAAAAAAAAAATTGTTGATTTAATTGTTTTTTTTGTGTGTTTTGTGCTTTTTTTTTTAAAAAAATATCTTTTTTTTTGTGTGATTACTTGGGAATTAATTATTTCCATTTTTTTTTTTTTTTTAATTTTTTTTTTTTTTTTTTTTATTTTATTTTTTTACCATTTTCAACTTTAAAAATTAAAAATATTTATTTCAAATTTTATAATTTTATAATTAAATAAAAACGAAAAAAAAAAAAAAGAGTTTTAGAAAAAAGAATAAATTATTAATTATTTTTTTTTTTCTTTAATTTTTTTGTTTTTTTAGCCTATATTTACCCACCCCACATTTTTTAAATTATTATTTTTTATTTTTTTTAATTTTTTTTTTTTTAATTTTTTAATTTTTAAAAAAATTTTAATTTTTTTAAATAAACTTTTTTTTTTTTTTTTTTTTTCTCTCGTTTTATATAAATTTTTAATAATATATATAACAATTATTTTCATATTTCATTACACTTGTATCTGTGTGTTGGTGTGTGTTATTAAAAAGACTAGTGTGTTTTGTTAATCAATAACAACTAATCTCAAAGATATAATTAATATATCTTGAAAATTTTTTTTTATTTTTTATTTTTTTTAACATTTAAAAAAAAATTTTTTTTTTTTTTTTTCTTTACAAAAAAAAAAAAAATCTAAAAAAAATCGAATATGGCTTCTGCTATTATGCATAACTTTACAGTTGGGGAAATCGAAGAAACTAATGTTCCAGGTCCAGAGGTACAAACTTATAACGAGGAGGTATTAAATTCTCTTTCACATGGTCTAGGTTTGGTTCTCTGTATTCCAGCAGTTTTTTTCTTAATTTCCTTGGCAAGAATGAAGGGTTCAAAATGGCATGTTTTATCTTGCTCAATTTATGGAATCACTCTTGTAAGTGTACTTTAATATTTTTTAAAAAAAAAAAAAAAAAATTATTCTTGTGAAAATATTAATATTTTAAATTGTCTTATTATAGATGACAATGTATTTTTGTTCAACTTTGTATCATTCAGTTGATATTTTAAATTTACAAAGATATAGAAGTTTTTTTAAAGATTTAGATCATTGCGCAATTTATTTCTTAATCGCAGGTACATATACCCCATTAACATTAATTAATTTAGTATATAACAATTTATCAAGTATTGGATCTTCCATTCAAACCAAAGTATTAGATGGTGCCGGGGATTCAATTCGTACAGCCACTACAACAGTAAGCGCAGTTGTAAAAAGAAAAACACCAAAAGTTGTTAAAGTTGGTTGGTTAATGTTTATATTAATTTGGACAATGTGTTTCTTTGGTGTAGGTAGCAAATTAATTTTAGGTGCCAATGGCGTTCCAGATATCATTTCAAATTCATTCTATCTCTTAATGGGATGGACATCAATTATTGGCCTCAAAGATTTGATCACACATCTACCAAAGAAGGGTCTAAAGTTATTGGTATCCGGTGGTGTAACTTATACTAGTGGTGTCGCATTTTTAATTTGGGAAACTGCTCCATTCAACCATGCTGTATGGCATCTTTTTGTTTCTGCTGGTACTTTGTTCCACTATTTCTGCATTTTAGAATGTTTATTACCTTCAAAATTCCTTAAAAAAGACTCCGAATGTATCCAACAAACCAATACCACAACAAATCTTTCAACAGGCACATCAAATACAGTCATTAACAAAGCTACAATCAACACTCATACCCACTCCGTAATTTTAGAACATTTCGAATATGCTGAGGAACAAATTAGAATTAAATTCTTTGGTTCAGGTAAAAGAAAAATTTTTATTATTAAATATATGAATGTTTTATATTCAATTTTCCTTGGTTGGTGGGATAAAATGCCAACCATTAAAAAAAATATTAAAAAAAATAATTAAATAAAACTATATATAATTTTTATTAAAAAATTATTGTATTAACAAATATCACATATAAGTTTATTTGCTGAAATTAGTTGTTGCAGATTTTTATTGTCAATAACTTTTTTTTTTTTTTTTTTTTTTTTTTTTTTAAAAGTCAAGATAATTAAAAGCAAATGCTTTAAATTAATCAGTAAAATTTTATTTAATGTTTTTTTTTTTGAAACTCATAATATAGATCGTTGATATGGCTGATTATTCTTCTAAGTGTTTTGAATTTATTATAAAAGTTCATTTACATTACAAATTATAAATTGATAAATCACCAGGAAGATAAAACCTTAATAAAATTGTGGGGAAATCCGAGAATCGAACTCAGGACGCTACCACCCAAAGGTAGCATTATACCACTTAACTAATTTCCCATATACATGAAAATAGAAAAAAAACTGTCCATGTCCGTAACCTAATAATTAAATTTTTAGGTTAGACGTTAATTTTCTTTGAATTTGTAATTTTTTGAATTTGGAATTGTTTGAATAGATATTGGGTGAATGTTTAAGTGGCCTTTAAAGGTCTGAAATGATGGCATCATGAAAAAATCAATACACATATAATCAAGATAACCCTGCAGATTCTCCAATTATTCCAAAGTAAATAAATTTAAATCTTCTATATATACACTTTTTCTAGTCTTTTCCATTGCCAATACAAGAATCCATCCAAATGAAGCCGTTATTACCATCTAAAGTCAAACTTAACATTAAGATGTAAAAAAGATAATACTTAAGAAACAATTTCTTTGTTTCTAACTTTTTTAATATATTCTTCAAAAGTGAGCAGATACCACAAAAATTAAAATTACTAAAAAAAATTAAATATAATAAAAGTGCTATCCTTTGCTCCAATCATTGAAAGGATAAGTCAAAAATTACTGGTTAACAATTAATACAATAGATTAAATAACTAAAATTATTTTTAATTGGTGTTTCAATTTTTTATTATTAATATAAAACATGTGCAATACATTTATGAATAATGACCCATATGGTCATCTACTACTATTTTGTAATTACAGAGAATATATATTATGAGCTTTTTAAAAGAATACCTATAAGAAAGTACTGGTAAAGATAGCTAATGGAATTTTAATAAAAGTACCAACACATTGATTTTCCTTAATTCACTGCAATCTAAACATGACAAAGTTTACAGTGGAGGAGAAATACACCCTCAAGATGAACAATTCAGATCTGGTGCTACAGAGATCTCATATTGTGTTTGTATGCTAAAACACAGAGAAGATTAAAAGGAAAAAAATCAAGGTATCAAATTCCAACCCCAGATTATTGTTTTTGATGATATATTTCAATACCATCGGCTTTTTTATTTTTTTGTTTTTTTTTTTTTTATTTTATCTTTTTTCTATAATGCTATAGTTCCAAAGATTTTTGATATTATATTTCTATAATATTAATTGTTAGTCATTGTAATAATGTATTGCGGAGTATCAATAGGTTTGGGGTTGGATGGCCTTGATTCAATATATTTTGATAATTTAATTTTTAAAAGAATAGAGAAAATATTATTAAATATAGTTATGGGTATATTTAATTAAATTTGATTCATTAAAATTTCTCTAAATTTTTTAAATATGATTTTTAAAAAAATTTCTAAAATAATTCCCTAAAAAAAATAAAAATAATTAAATTTAATTATCAAAGAATTACAAATAACCCAAAATTAAATAACAAAATTAAACAACAAAAATTAAATAACCATAATTTAACCTCAAAATAAACCAAAATTAAACAACAAAAATTAAATAACCGTAAGTAATACTGAAAACTCAGACATCTTCAGAGTGAAACTATTATCTAAAAAAGAGAACTAAAACAATCGTGGGTTTATAGATTTTAAATATGAATGTTTATTAAAAAAATTATATTTTAATTAATATAATTTAAATATTTTTTTCAAATACTGGTTCAAAGTTTTGTGGGGGGGCACAGTTAACTTGATAAAATGGTAAAATACCATTTGGAATTGTTGGTGCTAAAATTAATTGTTTTGAACCTGAGTATTTAGTAACTATTGGTGCTTGGCCAACATCTTTTGGAATAGTAATGAAAAGCTATAAAAAATAATAATAATTAATATTTCTATTTATCTATTACATAATACAAAAGGAGATCTTACTTTGCCATTTTTATTTATAAATTGGATTCCACGTGTATAATAAATTGAATTATACTTATTATTTAAAACGTCAATATTATAGTTTATCTGTTTTGAAAAAAATATTAGTATTGATTCTATTGTAGTTTTAAAAATAAAAAGTATTATATATTTTACATACAGTTTTAATAAATTTATTATTTTCAATAACGAACCAAATTGAAGCTGGAATTATTAAAACTAAACCAATCAAGGCAAAAATGAGTATGAAAGAGGCTAAGAAAAATTTATAACAATGATGATTAAACTTTAAATAAAAATAAAAGATTAATAAATGTTTAAAATATATAAATTGATATATTTATATTTACCTTTATAGATTGAGATAATGTATTGTACTCTTCCATCATTGAAGTGTATTCTTGGGAAGATAGATAATTATATAGTTTTAAATTATAGAAAACATTCCAACCTTGGAAATTTTTTTCTGACCCTGTTTATTATAAGAATTTTGTAAATAATTAAATAAAAAAATTTTATAAATAATTAAATACAAACATGAAAACTTTTCTAATTTTCTAGAAACTAAAATATTTCTAAAATTTATATCATCTGGTTGGTCGTCTGGGCTATGTACTAATGGATTTACAATATGATTTGGCTATATTGAAAAAAAAAATTAGTATTTCAATATTTTACATATTTTAATATAAAATAATTACTTGAGCCCATGGATGAACTAAAATAGCATTTCCTAGAGTACCGTCAAGTAAAATCATTTCATTGCTATTAATTGTGGTAGAGTTTGGATAGTTGAATGTTAATGTAACGACTCCTGAAAAACTCATATGTAAAGTAATATATGCTTGTCTTGGTTCTAATGCCATATTGATTCCTTCGAGGCATTTATTTAAATCTCTTTTTAACTATTAAATTATCAAATTAGTAATTTTAATATAAAAGTATAGCAATAATAATAATAATATTAATACTAATAATATCAAAACTATTAATAATACTTACTTTGCTTTTAAAAATTGACCAACGAATAAACTCGATAATTGCAGATACTAATATAATAACTAAACCAAAAAGAATATAACCAATAAGAATAATAATAATAGAATAAAAATCTCTTATACCATTATAATTTAAACAATCAATAATATCAAGGTATTCTAAAAATAGTGTTAATAAATATAAAAAAATATATTTGTTTTATTGTGCGAGACAACCAAGTTTGCGCAAATTTGAAATAAAAAAAAAAACCCACCAAATTTTTAACTTTTTTTCGCATTAAATTTTGTTATAACAAATGTGTGGGGCAAACTTGACCGGCTTTTACAATAATTTTAAAAAAAATTACCTTTAACTGGAATAATTCCTTCTAATTCTTTTGGGTATTCTTCAGAGAAGCCACCAAAATGTTTGGTACCTTTGATAGATTTAATTTCTACTTTTCCCATATTTTATCTCTGTGAATTAAAAAAATAAATAATCAAAAATTTTTTTTTTTTTTTCTTATTTATATTAAACCATTTAAAAATTTTTTCAAGAGTTTCATAAGCTCGAAAAAATAAGATAATTTTTATATTAAATAAAAAACCCGTTTTTTTTTTTTTTTTTAGCAATTAATTTAAAAAAAAAATTTCAAAAAAATATTTTCAAAATTTTTTTTTAAAACAAAAAATATCAAAAGAATTTTCTTTATTGTTATAAATAATTAAACTTTATTGATTTATAAAAAACCAGAAATATTTTATTTTATTTTATTTACATTTAATTTTATTTTTTTTATTTTTAATTTTTACTCATTATGACTTTTTCAGAAAAAAATAGTTATTTAATAAATGGTTCAAATATAAATAATATAGATTCTTTTTATAAAGAAATTAATAGATTATTTATGGGAAATGAAGACTTTCAAATCTCAAATTTAGATGGATTGGAAGATTTATTTTCTGGTGGTGTTGGTGATATCGATATTGATCAACCAATTCAAATAGTATGGAAAGATTTTGAAAAAAATAGAATAGATTTGGGTAAAGAAGTTACTATTGAATGGTATGAAGATAGTTTAAAAACAAAAGAATTTAATCATGATTATTTCAAACAAAAAATCAAAGATTTACAACAAGATCAAGGTCAAACCTATTTTGATATTATTTTAGAAATTATGGAAGAAAATGAAAATATTAAATTAATAAAAGAATAAATTTAATTAAAAAAAAAAAAAAAAGAATCAAATATTATTTCATTTTAAAGTGATAAATTTTTGAATTCAATTTCTCGATGACATTAATATGTTTTATTTAAAAAAAAAAAAAATTAAAATAAAATTTTCCGAGTTTTTAAACCGATTTCTGAAAAGCAAAAGTTAACTAAAAGACTTTTCTACTTTTCGTTATTTTTTAGCTTTTACAAAAATTTTTTTAAATTATTTTTTTAAAATTTTTTTTTTTACTTTAAAGTAAAAAAATTTATTTTTTTAAATTATTTTTTTAAAGTAAAAATATCAAAAGTATTAAATGCCCAAAAATAATCAGTTAATTATTTATAAATAAATATAAATAAATATATATATATAGTTATAAATAAATATATAAACAAGTAACTCCACATTACAATTTTTTTTAAAATTCGGAGGTGTTCATATGATACAATAGGAGGTTTGCTTTAGATATATTATTTTTTATCTATTAGAGATCTGTCGAATAGTGTAAAAATCAGTTTATAATTCTATGATTATAAAAATTGGATTTTAATATGATTGTTAAAGAAAGTGGTTGATTTCTTTATTCCTTGTATGAGTTTAACACACTGCATATAAGTTGGGCACAGTAACGTCAATTTGTGTGTGATTATAATGAGATGGAGCTACTTTAGTTATAGATAAATAATAAATATAAATAATTCTAATAATCAAATAAAGGAAAATATAAATAAAATATTTAGTTGAGATATAATTTTAACTGTAATATTCATTTAATTCTAAAATGTATATATTTTTTTTTTATAAGTGAGGATGTTTTAATGTATCATCAGTATTTTTATTGTGTTTTGTTTTTGTTTGTTATGTGTTTTTATACTTATATGAAGGTTACCACAAGCTGGGCACCGTTGTGTCAATTCGTTAGTGATTCGGAGAGCCCATCAGGACAGGAGTTCAAACAAGATACATAAGGCGAAGTACCATCGAGGTTCAAACAGGAGGAAACTATGCTATAATTTGTAATGTATTCATATGCATTTTAGAATTAAATGAATATTACAGTTATAATTATATCTCAACTAAATAATATATTTATATTTTCCTTTATTTTAAATAATTTATTATTTAAAATTAAAAATTAAAAATAAAATAAAAATAAAAAAATTGAAAAATTTAAAAAATAAAATTTTTATTTTTTAGTTTTCAGTTTTCGGTTTTAGTTTTCACAAACAAAGAATTGTATATTTATTTGATTATTAGAATTATTTATATTTATTATTTATCTATAACTAAAGTAGCTCCATCTACATTACAAATTTCTCCCCCTAAAGCCTGGGAGAGTAAAATAGACTGATCACAGGGAAGATCCCTAGGGTAGGGGTGGGTGAAAATAAAAATAATTCGCCCAAAGGGGGGCTCGAACCCCCGACCACAAGGTTAAAAGCCTTGCGCTCTACCGACTGAGCTATCTGGGCAATTTGTTGATATTTTATAAAACATCAGGTCTCCGGATCTTTAAGGTTATTTTTTAACAATCCACATAATATTAATTATTAAAATTATTAATAATTATTATTAAAATTAATTAAAGTTATTATTTATTATTAAATTATTAAATTATTAACATATAATTAAATAATATGTGTTTAATTTAAGTATTAAAGATAAATAATAAAGATTAAAAAAGTATATTAGTGATGTTTTTTTTTAAAAAAATTAATTTATTTAAATTTTAAAAAATATTGATGGGCTGGATAGCTTTGATTTATTAATTTATAATATTCATTTTTTGAAAAGTTTGTATAGTAGTTTGATAAAATTACTTCTAGAATATCGATATTGTTTGATTTTGAGGCATTATTCAATATTTCTACTAGTTGGAGTGGTTCTAAAAGAGTTTCACCATTTTTAAATTGTTTCTTTATAAAATAAGAATATTTTATAAATAAAATTTTAAAAAAATCTATATTTCCCGATACGGCAGAGTCTTTTAAATAAAATATTAAAATCGATTTTAAAATTGTAATTAGTGTCGAAATTGATTTGTCTTGATCATCTATATTTTCTAAAGTTGTGAAATAATAATTTGTTGTATAATCTAAAAACTTTACAATTAAAGGTGTGGTCTTTTTATTATTTTCTATAAACTTATGGTATTTGAAGACCAATGGATTTATTTTAATTAACTCTATGGCATTGTTGAAACCTTCACTAAATATAAAAGAGTAAAACAATTGATATACTGACATTTCTACTGTGACAGTTTCTTGATAGTCTATACCATATGGATAGTTTAGATTCATTCTAACAGTGTAAAATGGATTTGGGTCCGTTGGATAGGGTATTTGATCCTTTTGGGAATAGTTATTTGCGATCCATCTAAGTAATTTAAATGGTCTTTCTTGTTCGATAATTGAAACTAAATTAATTTCTGGTAGTTTTAAATGTTTGAAAATTGAAACCAAAATATCATGTCTTTCATATTGAATATACTCTGAAACAATTTTTTGACATGAGCTTAATAAAAAGTTATTTGATAGTTGATATACTGATAATAATGATGATTGACTTTCCAATGCCCTAGATAATAATTCCAATGATATTTGCTCAAGATCCCTAAATAGAGGCTTTAGCTCTTTGTCAATGATAAAGTATTGGTACAGAGTTGGATTAAAATATTTGTAATCGTCGATGAGTAACTTGAAATCCATATTCTTGATTAGCATTTCATAGTGCTCTAATATTGGTATACTTGATATATATTTCCAATTCACTGAATGATTTGTAAAAATTGGTGAATCTTGATAGTTTTTATAAAAGAAATCTAATACGGCAGTGGACTTGATAGATCGCATTAAATAACCGATATTATAATCGTTATAGCTACTATTAAACAATGATTCTATAGATTCTTTATATTTTTGATGAAATAACTCTATTAATTTTAAATCACCAATCTCTAAAATAACCAAAAATGGTGTAATTGATTTATTATTATTTAAAATGATTTCTAAACAATTTAAAATAAAATTATTTTCAATTATATTATTATTATTATTACTGATACTATTAAAATAGCTATACATATAGTTGAAGAAATAACTGCAATATTCTAGTATATTTAGTGATGAGATGTCTTCACATATTTGCTTTTTATACCAAATTTCTATACTTTCATTTGTTATTAAAAAATATGATTTTATTAACTTTAAAATATAAGCTCTTAATTCTTTACATCTTTTTATAAAATTTAAAATATTATTATTACTACTATTATTACTATTGCTATTATTACTATTGCTATTATTTATATTGCTATTATTTATTAATTCGCTACAATTACAATCTATAAAAGTACACACTCTTAAGAGCTTTAATATGTCAATGTCTAAATGTTGTTTAACCAATTCATTTGACTCTAATTCTTTGATAAATTTACTTATGCTACCTGATTTATTCTTTTTAATATCTGATTTATTTTTTACAAAATCATTATTATTGTTGTTGTTACTATTATTATTGTTTAAAGCTGAAACAAATTTTATTTGTGGTTCAAAATTTATTGTTTTTGAAAATAATTTCTTTTTTACTATGTCTGTGGTTGATAAACTGAATGATTTACTACTGCCAATACCTGGACAAGAACTATCTAATAGAGCAGATATAAACTTATCTATAAATTTATCTTTATCTAGTTTTTTATTTTTGAAATTGATTTTAATACCATTTGAAAAGAAAGATATAAAAGACTTTGTAATATCCAAAAGTTGGCCAAAAGTTAATAAGCCACCTTTAAAGTATATAATCATATAATATAGATTCCCGCCTTTGACAGTCTCGACCATTTCTACAGAGCTTCTTAATTGGACACCGTGATATAAGATGAGATGGCTAAGCATTTTGAATGATTTGTAGTTTAAAATTTGGGAGTTGCTATGATTAATTATTAATACTTTATAATATGAATTTGCCAAATAGTTTATTTGATCATTTGTTATTTTAAATTGATCTATATAGACCCTCAAAGCAACTAAATTTGAACACTTGAAAATTAGTGGTAAAGCAATCTCTGAAAACATGAAATACTTTGGATAGTTTGTAAATAGTTGTTTATAAAAGTCGATATTCTCAAAGGTATCTTTAGTTATTTTATTATATATTGGTTCGATACTATTATACGTTATATAACTTGAATTTCTAACCCTTTCTTTTATTACACTAATGCCATCATTAAATCTAATTAAAATTTCATCTGCTTTAACCAATCTTTCATAATTTAAACTTTTACAAAATATTTTTGATAATAAAATTTTATTTTTAAATATTTTCCAAAATAAAATTTCTGTTTGGGATATATCCACCATAATTATTTATAAATTATTGCACCCCCCTGAATAAAAATTATATTTTAAATAAAAAAGAAAAAATAAAAAAGTAAAATTAAAAAAAAAAAAAATCAAAAAAAAAAAAAACATAAGGTTAGATTTTTTATTTTTTTTTTTTTTTTTTTGATTTATTTTTAGTTCCTTTTTTCTTTTTTTTACCCATTGTTATAATAATAAAATCATTACAAATACAAACACTTTTTTTTTTTTTTAAAATAAAAAAACAAATAAATTTTTTTTTTTCAAAAATTTTAAATTAAATTTCTTTTTTTTTTTTTTTTTTAATTTTTTATATTTTTTTTTTAATTCATTATTTTCATTTTCAAAAAATAATAAATAATAATTTAATATAAATAAAAAAATTTAAAATGACAAGTGACACAAAAAAGAAAATGATAAAAATTAATTTAGATAGGATCTATGAAATTATTGAGGCTTATTTAAAAGCTTATCTTAGAGAAGGCGAAGTTGACGAAAACCACTTATTATTTTACAAATATTTTAGAGACCTTACCTCGGTTGCAAGCGATCACGATAAGCTATCAAATTTTTTAAATAAAGAAGAATATAAAAACTTACCAATCGATTTTAAAGACTCTAACGAAATTAGAAATCGTTCAGTTTTAATATTAAAAGAAATTTCCAACTCTTTTTAATTAATCAATATAAAATAGAAACAATAATAAAACGATAATATTTTTATTACTGGTAGAATCATAGATTAATATAACCGAAAAAAAAAGTATATAGAATATTTTTTTGGATAATAGCAATATATAGAATCCAATCCACCAATCCAAACATTACATAATCCAACTTATCTAGCCAATACAAGATTATATCTTTTTTTAAAAAAAAAACAAATAAAATCAAATATAAAAAAAAAGAAAAAAAAAAAAAAGAAAAAAGTTATAGAAAACACTATAGTGTTTATTTTTTTTATTAAATTTATATTTATTTTTTTATTTAATTATTTAATTTTAAATTAAAAAATTATTTATATTTTATTAGTAGTAAATTAAGAATTAAAATTATAATTAGAACTAAACTTAAAATTGGGATTAGAAGTAAAAAAAATAATTAATATTTATAGAAATAATAATTCTAAAAATAAAATAAAATATTCATTTAATAAATTTCTTATTTTCTTTTTCTTTTTCTTTTTTTTTTTTTTTTTTTTTAGCATAAATTATTTAATTCATTATTCATTTGCTTCATAAATGAAATCATAAATTCATGACGTTTCTTGGCCATTTTCTGGCCACTTTTTGTTTTCATCATACTCTCTAATCTAAATAATTTTTCATAAAAATGGTCTATTGTTGGTGAGTTGTGATTCTTATATTGATCTTTAGATATTTGAATTGTTTTAATTTCATCGCTTTCATCTAATGACTTCATTAATTCTTTAGTATTTTGGTTATAAAATGGTGTATTACTTTTAGCGGCTCCATATGAAAATGTTCTTGCAACACCAATAGCACCGATTGCTAATTAAAAAAATTAATAAAATAAAATGTTACTATTTAACCATTATTAATTATATGTATTTATATGTATATAAATAGTTACCATCTAATCTATCTGCGTCTTGTACAATTTTGGATTCTGGTAAAAATTGATAATTAGAGGAAACACCCAATTCGTGTTTAAATGATATTTGTTTAACTACATTCGAAATATATTTGGCTTTTTCTAAAGGGTATTGATGAGATGTAAGGAAACTGATGATTGTATTTTCAGCGGTATCTTCGTCTTCACCCGGCTTTAAGTATTTTGAATCTTTAATATCGTGTGCAATGGCTGCTAACTGAAGTAATTCGAAATCACCTTCAAATTCCTCTTGTTCAGCTATTGATACTGCTAATTTCCATACTCTTTCTACATGATTCCAATCATGTGATGGATCGTTATCTGCCATTTCTTTTTTGACAAATTCGACAAGCTTGTTTATAATATATGAATCACCCATTTTATAAATTACTTTAATTGATTTTTTTTTATAAATTGTATTAGTTATTTCTTCAACAGTGTTATAAAAATCCATTTTTATTTTTTATTTTATTTTTTTGATCTAAAAGAAATGATGATAGGTGATGATAGTGTAATGATAGTATAATGATAGTATAATGATTGTAATGGAAAATAGAGATACGATGAATAGTAGGGCAGAGATAGAACTAATAGAGACTAAATTTAATTGATATACTCTACTTGATTATAATTTCTCTTTTCTTTTCTTGTTTTTTTTAATATATTGTTACCTATAATTTTTAAAATATAAAAATTATTAATTAATTAAAAATTTTAATTTTTAAAAATAAAAAACTTGGGATCCTTTTAAAACACAAATATATAAATATACACAAGTTAAAACATAACATATATAAATAATTACAGCTTTAAATATAATTTATTTTATTTGAGAAAATAAATTTTTTTTCATTATTTTTTTAAAAGAAAAATAAAAAAAAAAAATAAAATAAAATAAAATTATTTTTTATTAAAATTTTTGTTTTTTATAAAATTATGTAATTTATAAAATAATTATTTTATTTTAGCACCCCCAAATTATTAAATTTTAAAAACTTTTTTTTTTTTTTTTTTTTTCTATATATACCCTATGTGTAAAATGGTATTGCTATATTAAACAATAATCACCTTTTTTTATTATTTTTGAATACTTTTTTTTTTATAATATTTTGTATTGTTTTTATAATTTTTCAAACATGATCAAAATCTTTAAAAAAAGATTAAAACATATCATTTCGAGAAAAAAGGATATCTCTTAGAACTCATCAAGATTAATTTTGTTTTATTTTTTAATCAATCAATAATATCAATAAATAAAAAATAAAATTATAAAAAAAAATAAAAATAAAAAGTAATAAAAATAATAAAAATAAATAATAATAAATAATAAATAGAAAATAAATAGAAAATAAATATATAAAACAAAAGTAATAAATGGTGTTATAACAATAAATTAATAAACTTTACATTTTTAATTTTTATTGTAGATAAAAAAAAAATGGGGGATATAGTTTTATTAATAATAATAACTACAAATTAATAGTATAAAATAAAGTAACAATAAATTATTAAAATAATGTTTTTATTATAAATATTTTAATATTTTGTAATAATATTTTATTTTATTTTAACTTTTACAAAATTATAATATTGTAATTTTTCTTTTAAAAAAAAATGGCTTTTATAATTGGCAAGTGGTCAGATGAAAGTAAAGCAGACAGCAGAATTCAAGGAATTGCTGATGATGTTAAAGTTGCAGTGGAAGGTAAACTTCAAAAAAAAATGACAACCTATAAAGTAATTTCCTATAGACAACAAATCGTTTTGGGAATGAATTATTTAATCAAGATTCAAACTTTTAATGGATACATTCATATCAAAGTATTTGTCAGCTCAAGTGGCTCCGCATTATTAAGAGATATTCAAGAAAAGAAAACTTTAAAAGACCCATTAAACCCATTTTAAAATAAAGATAATAAAATTCATACAAGAACTTTTTTTTTATTCTTTTTTTTTTTATTTTTATTTTTTTAATGTTTATAATTATTTGAATTATTTAATTAAATATTTTATTTTATTTTTAAAAGTTGAATAGTTTGCAAAAAACTAATATTAGTCTATTTGACCAGGCTAGAGATTTACTATTATTTTTCAAAAAAAAAAAAAAAGCATATATAAATTGTGTTCAAATTTAATAACCAATAAAAATAGATATCTGGAACTCAATCATTCAAAAAAAAAAGGTTTTATTATTTCTCTCTACTTTCCTATTTTATTAAACACATGAAATTTGTAAAAAAAAGATCTATAATTAATATTAAAAATATTTATTTATTATTATTTTAATATTAAATATTAAATAATTATTTTATTATCAACATCAAAAATCCATTTTTGGTTATTTACTGGTATGTAGTGGTTTAAATTTAGATAAAAACAACAAATATACCATTATATCATTGGTTGAAGTTGGTGATAAACTAAAAAAATAAATTATGACCCCACCTTAATTTTTAAGTTTGATATAAACATAATTTACAAGCTACTAAAAATAATAAAAAAATTAAAAACTTACTTAAACCCCTCACACTCACACACTAAAATTTAAATCTGGAAACTGTACATATAAAGAAATAGTTTAAAATATATTTATTATAATATATTTTTATTTTAATTTTTATTTTATTTTTTTTATAAAAAAAAAAAAAAAATAAAAATTTTAAAAAAAATATAAATTAAGAAATTTATTAATTTTTCAAATTTTTTATATTTCATACATTCAATTTATAATAATAAAAAAAAACTTTATTTTTATAAATAATAAAAAGAAAAACTTTAATAATATTTTTTTTTTCCTTATATCTATAACTTAACAAATAATAATAAAATGGGTATTGTTGGTGGAATTGGTGCTAAACATGATGCTGATGACTATGTCAGAAATCTTTGTGCTCAAATTAAAGTAAATGCAGAAAACAAATTAGCCACTCACTACAACAAATTTGAAGCAGTCTCATACAAAAAACAAGTTGTTGCTGGTACTAACTACTTTGTCAAAGTCCACACCGATAATGGTTACAATCACTATAGAATTTTCGTTGGTCTCCCAGTGAATGGTAAAGAAGCTGCTCCACAACTTGTCTCTGTTCAACAAAACAAATCATTAGAAGATGATATTACTTATTTCTAAACAATAAAAATTTATATAGCAAAAATTAATTAAACCAATAACAATAATATCAATAATTAATTAATAAAATGTATTTTTTTTTCTATAATATATATATTTAATTATTTTCTTTATTTATTTATGAATTTTATATAATACAATTTGTGATTTATCATATATAAATGGTGATGGTTTATCTGCTAAAGTATTTGTAATATCTTCGACAGTTAATTGTTTTTCTTTTAACTCTTGCTGGAATGTTGTAAATGTTGATTGGTTTCTAATTGTAGATGAAATATATGCTACTGAATCTTTATTTTTATTTAATAAATAATCTAAAATTCTTACTAAATATCTTGCTAGTGAAGGTTCGTATACAATATCTGCCCCTAAAATAATATTTGTTGAATTATCTCCATCTGAATATTCTTTGTCTAAAACAGTTAGATCCTCAATTTCCCAATCTAATATCTTTACTTTAAACCTATTATTGCCATTTAAATCTTGATTATCTTCATCATTAATTAAATCATCGATTCCTATATTATCTATATTAAATAATATACTACTATTAGAAAACTATCCAATATTATTATTACTATTGTTTATTACCTACTTAATTCTATATTTTCTTTTAAATTTTTTAAAACTTTTGGTGAATAATCTGTCAATATTACTTTTTTTAATGGTTTTACATAATCCAATGCAATACCTGCTAAACCTGTGCCGCTGCCCAACTCTAATATATTTTTATTTTCGAATAATGATTTGTTTTGTAAAATGAAATCTGACAATAAATAAGCTGCACCCCAAGTTGTCATACCAACAAGATTATATGTATTTTCATTTTTTAAAACCACCCATTTATCTTCAACAAAATAGGATTTCCAACAATACTCGATTTCATCTGTAACACCTCCGCCATTTATAATTTCCAAATACTTTTCTAAAATGGATTCATTAACCTCTA